AACTTTGATTGGTGCTTTAAATCTAAGCCAGAAGTATAGAGTGTGCAAAATATGATTATTTTTATTTTGTCCTCCGCATCCGTCGCAGAATAGACGAACTGTGGTGATATCGTCATAATTCAATGAATCCAAATAACTTAAAAGTGCAGATCCTACCTCGATTGATCCTCTTCCTGCCATATCTTCCGCCCAAGTAAAAAAAGTTGGTTTTTTGGATTGACTGTCCACGCAACAAAAAATATACATGCTAACTTGTTGCGCATAAAACGCATCGTTAATTGGGGTTTTGGGCAAAGGCTGAATTTGTTGAAAATCAAAGCAAAAAGTAATTGAATTGTTAGGGTTCTCTTTTAGCAGCCTATAAAAAGCATTAGCCCTCTTTTTGTGAATTGTAAGTTCAATTTGTAACCCCCTTTTCTTTTCTGTATCAACTTCACTTTTGGTCAAGTATTTAAGCCTAATACATTTTGCGCAAATATCGGTGGCTGGACTAGAAAATCCAATATTAAAGTCATTCACGAATATTCTTTTAAACATAAAAAAGTTAACTTTATGCTCAACATTGCACTGACTTTGATACATGTTGTGCAATTTTTTTTATGTTTAAGTTAGCATCTAAATAAATCCTTTTCGACTTTTCTCTATTATAGTGACTTTCCTTTTAGGTTTCCAATGAATTATTTTACTTTAACTTTTTTTGCAACAGATTTAGCGGGCACGTGATCTCCACCACGGTTTTCTTTTGGAATATTCCCTTCAGATAAAACCTGCGCTATGTGATTAATTCGGTCTTTTTTTACATTAACACATTTGAGAAAAAAAGCCTGGCATACCTGAATTTTTTTCTTGGATACTCTTTTGGGCAGAAAATAATGCACCGAAAAATTGCGACTTCTGCCACAATGGCGCAACGTCATTTTTTCGAGCGAGTCACGATTTGGCCTACAGAAAGGGTCTCAATAGGTCCAGGCAGACAGGAACTACTTACTTTTGCTAGAGGTGTTGTTTACTATCAAGGCGGATCAGCGATGTTTTGGGGGGAATAATGTTTGGTCACTGCACCTCACTTATTTTCATTGAGAGAACTATGACAGGTACAATATACGCTGAAAACATTATTCAGCCAATCATTCAGCCGTTCAATATGATAATGACAGAACGCATAGCACGAAGAAGGTACAAAACATGCTGCAGGAAGGAAATATCCAAAGAATGAATTGGCCGACAAACTCACCAGACATGAATCCATGGCATATGTATGGGATTATCCTGGCAGAGCAATATCCAATCGAGAAACCCCGCTTTAACCTTCCAGAACTTGACTATAGCTGTTCAAGAAGAGTGGGACAATATGCCTGATAATTTTATTGATAACCTGATATGCGAGATGCCACGACGCTGGCCAATTGATTGAAAGGAGGAGCGATAAGTTATGTCTTTGTTACGATATAATATTTTTTTCTCAAAAAATAACATTTTCTTCTTTTTTGTAATTTCTTTATTCTGCATTATTCAGAAAGCAAATTACAAAAGTTATGTACCACACAGTTTGGTATTGAAACAATGAATAATATTCACTATATTTTCAAAATTAATTTGATTATTTTAAAAAAGACCCAGGGGGCCAAGACTTCATGTTAAAGATCCGTTGATCTTAGAATTCTGCTGATCGTTTTGGCTTAGAGATATTGGTATCTTCTTGTTAAAGATCCATTAATGTTTTCTTCTTAGAGATCCTTTGATCTTTTCTTGTTAAAGATCCATTGATCTTAGTGATCCATTGATCTCTTCTTGTTTAAGATCCATTGATATTAGAGATGCGTTGATCTTCGGTTAAAATTGGCAGGGCTCTATTATATTTCTTGATTATTAAAATATGTAGTTGTTCTATAATCGCTCCCGTAATTTTTATTAATATTCCTTTATTTCTGTTGAAGAAATGGGTGTTTCCTACAAATCTACGAACAATAATGTGATCTTCAATAAAGATTGAGTTAAGATCGAATTTCTTTACAGCTGTTTTTATGTCTTTGCACTTCCCGTGTCAACAAGACAAGAGAATTTACGACCATTCACAAATGTTGTTTGTATAAACAAACGGTTCAATTCTTCAAGGTTCTTTACAATGTCAACATTTTACTTTTAATGGGCAAATTAATATTTAGGTGCCTTAAATTTTTATAACTCTTAGGCGAGGTTTTGACAATGTTTTTTTCTTTTTTTTTTTTTTCATTTTTGAGTTATCGTGGATACAGACGACCACACATACAGATATTATCGCGAAAATTGTCACAACTGATTCAGGAGACCTTAAAGATCCAACGAAAAATCATGATTTCTGTCCTGTCATTACTAGATATATTTAGGAAAGCAAAAATAGGTTATAGTGTTTAGGTAAGGGAAACTTTTTCAAACACTAGGTATATATGTTTATTGGTTGATATAGACATTTTTAAATAATTTCTCTGATAATATACTGAATAATTTTTCGTCATTTTTTGTAAAAACCTTGAAAATATCAATCTAAAACACTATAAATATTTACCTTTAGATATTGGAATCATTATAGAATATTCATTTATTTAGTTCCTATGATCCAAAAATTAAATTAAATAGCAAAAAATAGATTTTTATGAGTTCTAAGTCGGAATAATCCATTATTATGAGTGAGGAAAATAAAAAAAAAATGGTTACGGCTATAGCCTGAATAAAAGAGGAGTGCAGTAAAAGCGGGGATATAATGTCACATTCCATAGGCGTACTTTGCAAAATAAGTTTCTATAATATAGATAAGGTCACGGCATATAAAATTTTGAATGAAAAAAATTATATTATGTATTTGCAAAAAATAAAAATGAACCTTATGCTTCTGACAAGATTGTTGCACTTTAACATTGAACGAGTTAAATTTAATCAATAAAAAACAAGGAGGATTATATGTTGGTAATGGGATTAAACTTTTTTTTAATCTCTTGGTATTAGAAGTAACACTTCAGTACCTAAAAAGATTAACAAAAAAGTTCAAGAACTATCTTTAAAAGTCACTGTCTTCACTATAACTACTACTGGTAGTTCTGTCGGAAAATTAAAAAAAAGAATATTTTTGGCCCTTCTACGCTTTAGTATGAACCAATTTTACCCGACATAAAAATGTCTTTAAGTGGTACGACACAAAACACAAATAATTCTTGTATGGTTGTCTGTGAGTTCATATGTATGCATGTGCGCCGACACAATAACTCTAGAACAAAAGCTCCATTTGATTGTTTGTTTGATAATTTTTTATAACTGACAATAATATTGTTTTTCAAAATGATTATCTATAACTTTAGCGCGTTAAATATCAATGTTTTTAAAATGCATTTCTTACGAAGGTTATTTTATGCACTACGACGCGGGTACGGATTTCCCTTGATAGCTATGCTTGTCAACTGTGAAAACACACATTTTTAATTTTTTGCATAATTTGAAGGTTTTTACAGGTTCTTAAATTTTTTTTTAAATTGTAATAAATGTAGATCTTACGCGAATACCATACAGAATCGTGAAGTAACGATGATTTTTGCACGAGTTTTAATGAACTCCAGAATTAACTCTAATGAATTTAATATTAGGATTACAAAGTTATATAATTTTACACGGATAGCTTAAGGAATAAATGGCCCAAAATATTTTTACATGGCCAGGCGTAAGTGGCAAAGGGACCAAATATTTTTTATGTGGACAGGCTTAAGGTATAAATAAACCAAATATTATGGATTAATATGTAAAGGATCCAAATATTTTAAATGTGCAGGCTTAAAAGGTATAGAGGTCTCAAATATGTTTACATCTGCATCATTAATAGGTAAAGGGGCCAAATATATTTGCATTTGCAGACTGAAGATGTAAATTAGGGCCAAATAGTTTTAATGAGCATCAGGAGGCGTTCAAGTATTACGTAAGCTGACCTAGGGAGCGGGAATTCAAGTTTTTCTTATTTTTTTTTGCTAACAAAGACAAAGCTAAAAAAATACAAAACAGTGTTTTCAAAATATTTTTAATTTGAGTTAATAATACTGTTTTGGCGTTAATAAAGGCTAATAACCTCAATAGTTGATGCCGATGAAACCGAATTAAAAAAATTAATAAAATAATAATCTAACCGAATCAACGAATTTAAGCCTGACTTGTCAAGATAAGCTACCGCAATTGACAATGATATAGAAACTTGGATACCACTGGACAATAAATTTAATGCTTTATTTTCCGATTTATTAAAACTTCTTTAATCTTAAAAATTATTTAGTTTTTGAGCTTTGATTTTGAATTGATAAAAGATTTGTAAAAATTCTTAAGTCTTTTCATTTGGAGAAGGGGGTTCACTTTTCTTTTATATTTGCTTATACAGAGTGGGCTAAAATCATTGAAAGTTTGCTTACGTAATACTCGAACGCCCTTTATAAATAAAATAATTTTAAAAGAACAGGTTTAAAGGAGTAGAGGAACTAAGTAATTTTACATGGACACACTTAAGGAGAAAACGTCCCCATATTTTCACATGAGGGGTAAATAGCCCAAATAGTTTTACGACATGGAATGGTTCTAAAAATCAGAACCAGCAATGTGTAAATAATTTCTAGGTTTAGCCAATACTTCACAAATCCGATGTCTCAGTATAATTTTCATCATTTTTCGCTCTATCGTTTAAAATCAAATAGTTTCTCGTTTTTTTTTTATGCAACGAGTTTGTCCATGTACGAGTAATCGTCGGTTCAGATAGATGGGAACCACCAATTTAGCATCCCTCGAATTTATATTATACAATTATTATTAGAATAGTTATAATAATTGAATCTGATAATATTGAATAAATAAAAATCTAAAATTCAAAATAAGTACATGAATAACACACGTTTTATTTAATAATCTAAAAGATAAAAAATCACTTAACTGATTCATCATGAACGTTTCTAAACTTTATTTCGATTACCTTTTAATTCAAATTTTTCCTGTTTCAGGTTCAAAAATAGTATACGAAAAATCGGTTCTGCTCAACTTACGTAATTCGCCCATTTCCAAAACACCACCACAATTCAGCATACCAGATAGTATTCTAAGCAGTCCTTCCAAAAAGACGAATCAAACAATTAAAAATGGACTGTCAAATTCACCAAAAAGAAGACCATCGAAACCTGAAACGACTGAAATATCCGAAGATCAATTCCAAATTGATATTTAGTATTAGTATTAAAATTTACTGTAATATAAATTTATCGTATCTTTAAATAATGAGGGTCGACAAAGGACAAAGATCGAAGAGCGCATTAAAAAAATTAAATAAGAACTCTCAAAAATATTCATCACAATAATTGGTAGTATAAAAAATTTATTAAATAATAATTTTGAAGTCAAATAATAGTTTTACTAAAAAAAATCATAAATAATTAATTTTTTCAATATGTTGTTCAAAATTATCGCAGCACTCATAAATCTAGACATATAATGTCATTTCTTCATAAATATTATTCTTGTTTCATCAGAGAATAGGACAGACTGCAACAGAGAATTACCCAAACTATTGAGTAGTACGATAATTTTGAGCAATATTATAATTTATAGATAATATGTATTCTAAGCAGCACGACATGAGACCAATGAAATTAGAGTGTAACAAATATTTTACAATAAAAAAAAAGATAATATTAACTATTTTTTCTCTATTTTGCAATTATGCACCCTTATTATTATTGCCAAGACATGATATATTTAAACCATTTTAAACTTTTGTTCAACTGCCATGTACTGTCCATTAGTTATTAATTTATCATGTCGTATATAAATAGGTTAAAGGTAAAGGCGATAGCTCTTTTATTCGGGTGCACATTTATTAATATGTGCACCGTTTGTAATTCCAAAATTCTATATCGAATGTAATTCACTAAGTGAAACAATTCGTAAAGTATACCTTGTATTTCAATGTTTATTTTTAAATAATATTAGAAATACATTCAATTCAATATGAACTGTTAACTTTTTGAAATACTCGATATGCGCATGTTTATCTATTGTTGTAATAAACAAATTTCATATGTTTCTAATTTTGTAGAAACTTTTATTATATTTGCTTTTAATAAAAGAATGAGATCAACACATCTTTCTTATTTTTGTTGTAGTTTTTGGTTTCAAAGTTGGATCCTAAAAGAAGTCCAGAGGACGTCCTAATGTCCCGTTTCCGTCCATCTTAGGGACGTCTCTGGGACATCCCAAAAGGACGTCATAGGTACCTTTACGGGACGTCCTAGGGACGTAAATCAGACGTCCGAGGGACGATATTTGACCATAATCCATAAAGGGTAATATTAACAATAAAAGGGCTTTAACAACTTTTATCCTGAAAAAATTAGCTAGAGTTAAACGTTTTCAGTTTACAAAAAAAAAAACGAATAAATTAAATTTAACACACAGCACTGGTAAGATGAAACCTTGGATCATACTTAAAGCTTGTGTCGACATAATTGAGTTTTATTAGTTTTGTTCCAACTTTCCTCCATTAAGGTCTTTTCTTTCCACCAGCGCTACCGCCAATACACAACACTTATTCTCACCTCAACACAAAACACTCACTTTACTTTATAACCACTCTACCACCAACATCAAAAAAATAACACTATATAACCTTCTTTTTTCTTCATTAATCTAACTCATAAGTTAATTATTTAATGCCGAAAATTGTAGCTGTTGTTGTTCATTTGAAAATGTTCGGTTTTCTGTCCTCATACTCTTGCAAAAACAAAACGTTGAATTTCAAGTTATCGATTCAAAAACCAACGATGCTAGTACATAGAAAGTCCCATTAACGTCCTGGACTCGGACCGAAAACTAAGCGCTTTGTCGAAACGGGACCAAAATAGGACGTCCTTTGGACACGGTAATCAGAAGTCCAGTGGACGTCCAATTTAGGTCCCGAACCAACAAGGGACCAAATCAGGACGGACGTCCCATGGATTTATTTTCACAAAGTAATAATCATTAAAACATTTCGACATAATAACGACACAAAATTCCAAGAATTTTTCAAGGCACGTAATAAATCAAACACCCCTTTTTAATAATAATAATAATAATAATAAATACGTTTATTACTCAATAGTATTATGTAAACATAACAAATAAATTATACACGAAACATTGAGTAAATGGCATTTAGCTCAGTGCATTTAAGTCTTTTAAACTAAAATGTCTGTTCTTCCGCTAAAGCCTGATTATTCTTAACTAATAACAAACATTGAATTAACAATAAATGAAAAAAAAATCTTATTTAAGAGACATATAAAAAAATATACTAATACTAAACACGCTAAAATTAAGGTAAAAACAGATAATATAAGAACAAAATAACAATAAATGTATCTGTGATAACCTAAATAATAAAGAAAAAATTGATAAGGACAATACAACAATAAGAGTTAGCATCATAAAGTAAGTAGGTGATTTTTGTAGTTCATTTTGAAGCTATTTGAAGAAAGTGTGATATTAAAAAGATTATTTTCCATTAGATTATTTGCAGATTTTGCCACGTTGTATGAAAATGTTCGTTTAAATATTTCTTTACGATGGGAAGGTATGGTAAGCATTTGCTTTCGTCGTATATTTACATTGTGGACATCAGTACGATATTTAATCTTTTTATGTAAATATGCTGGAGTTTTGAACTTTATAATTTTAAATATAAAAGAAGCAAAATGCATTTTTCGGCGATTATGCATATTAAGCCATTTCAAATTTTTAAGTTTATACGTTACTCTATGCCTACGTCTAATGCCGTAAATTAATCTAATGCAAGAATTTTGGATTTTTTGAATACGGGCTTTGTCAGCAGCGTCGAGACATGAACCATACACTGTATCACAATGATCAAACAGCGATAGTATAAGTGAGTCGCATAATTTTTTTTTTATGTTAACATCCAAAAATTGTCTTTGGGGATAAATTGCTTTTAGTGCACAATATGACAGTTTTAGTTTAGATGTGATATGGTCTTTAAATCTTAACTTATTATCAACAACTAGTCCCAAACTTTTTCCATTGCTATTAAAAGAAATGATTTCAGATTCTATTTTTAGTTGCATCTGGTTTTGTACTGCAATTCTTACAGATTCCTTACAGAATAGTAGGGCAGACGATTTAAGTGGATTTAATTTTAGAAGGTGATTGGACGAGGTTTTTGCTAAATTCTTTAAATCACTATTAATTAAATTAGAAGATTCTACTAAATTTTCATATTTAAAAGAAAAGTATATTTGCGTATCATCAGCATAAAAGTGATAGTTACAATATTTTAGAGAGTATTGAAAGTTACTAGTATAAATAGTGTATAATAGTGGACCAAGAATACTGCCTTGAGGAACTCCTAGTTTTAATTTAATTTTTTGAGATTTGTTTTTGCCTATTTGTACTCTTTGATATCTATCGCTTAAAAAAGATTTTATTAAGTTAGTAGCTGCATTAGAAAATCCCAGATAATGAGTGATTGACAGCAGTATTTGATGATTTAACATATCAAAGGCTTTCGAATAATCTAGTAAAACTAGTACACTTATTTTATTGTTATCTTCCGCTTGAATTAAATCATCAACTACGTCAGCAAGGGCAGTGGCACAACTATGTCCACTGCGAAACCCAGATTGTTTTATAGGTAATAAATTAAATTTATTTAGATGTTCTCTTATTTGCCTATCTAAAATCTTCTCCAATACTTTCGATAAGACGGGCAGAATACTAATAGACCTTAAATGATTTAGATCAGTAGGTGAGCTAATTTTAGGTATCGGAATTACATTAGCGAATTTCCACTCCAAAGGAAAATAAGAGGACAAAATTGACTGATTTATAATATTTGTAATATAAGGAATTATAAAAGGAGAGAAAAGTAACAATATATCGATATTCATATTATCGGTACCATAAGCTTTAGATTTAATATTTAAAATTATATTTGATACAATTTCTTCTGTAACAAGCGTGAATGCAAGAGGATCATTTATATTATTTTTTATTTGAGAATTGTAGTGACTAATTATGTCATAATTCGGTTGTTTATTTTCGATGCTAGTAAAATAATTGTTAATAATTTCAACATTATTTAAATGAGTAGGAATATCATTATTTTTATTTTTTGTAATATTTAATTTTTTTAATTCATTCCAACTTTGTTTAGTATTTGAATTTGCAAATTTATTTCGGAGATAAGCCTTTTTTTCATTTTTTATTGCATTAGTTGTAAAGTTTCTAAGTTGTTTGTAATAAGACCAATTAGCTGGAATACTATAAGTTTTGAATTTTCTTAATGCTTTGTCTCTTAGATTTTGCATGAATTTTATGTTTTCAGTAATCCATGGCGCATATGGTTTTTTACCTATGCGAATAGTTTTGACAGGAGCATGAATATCAAGTAATTCCAAAATATTTTTATTTAGTATCTCAACTTTTTTATCGATGTCATTAGTGGTAAATATATTATCCCATGACAATAAATTTATATTGTCCTGCAGATGTTCTAAATTTATAGATTTTATATCCACCAAAATTCGTTCCCACCGAAGTAACGACAAATCCAGTCTAATTCAGTTGCTTCTTAAAATTAGTACTAAGTTCAGTATTCAGTACCGACGTCTATTCTACCCTACCTCCTATCTCCCGAACGCTTTTACTTCCCGATGCTTAACGTCGCGTCGCCCTAGTTCCCTATCTGACTTTCTACGTCCAGGTGTTTTACGTCCCTACGACATATCTTCTGAACTCTGTCACGTCCCGCACCATTGTACACGGTACCGTCCTCTCCACCACGACGCAAGGCGACGTTCAATGCTGCGACGTACCCAAAATCGACGGCGTCATAACGCTAGATAAAATTAGTACATAAAATCTAGTTTAGTACGAACCTAATGTACGTATTTTCAATGGTTAGTTGAAAAGGTTAATATAACTTTCTTTGTGATATCACTTGAGTTTTTCGTTTGAATAAGGGTTGACATTTGCTTCAGAATATTATGTAACCCAGTAAACCAGTTTGTCTTCGGGCATTCACCCGAAATACAGTTGAGTTAGACACTTGTTTTCGATGGGTGAATTTGAGTCATTTCAATAGAAATTATAAATATCAATATTTTAGAAATATACAGGGACGTATTATCCTGGGTAAATTATGCACACAAACCTAGATTGTAATATTAAATGGTAAGTTAACCAACTCGTAAATCGGCACTGATCGTTAGCTCAAAGGAAGCACCTATACGTTGGGTGGCTAACCCAAGCAAATAAACGCCCCGCGTTTGAGCGATACTCAATTGAGATCTCGGTAAAAAGGACCATTTGTAATATACTTGTAATTTGTAATTATTGCGTTACATTTTAAGGTATGAAAAATAAAAGGGGTTAAATATAAATTTGTATATGGTTTTATTTACCAATTTGCACCAAACTTTACATCGAACCTGGTTTATTTTAATTAACATTATCACAACGTGTGTTTATAAATTATCAATTAATTAACTAGACGATCACTCCTACTACTAGAGGAAAAAGGCCAAATATAGTAAGTATAGAATATAAGTAAAACAAAATTGCGAGATAAATAATAAAATTTCAGATTTAAACAAAAATCAAAGGGGATGGGCGGTTACAGGGCCTTATTGTTTTTTAAAACAGTAGCTGATTATTTTACTATTAGCACACTATTATACGTGACAATTGCACTGAATGTAAAATTAAAAATTAATTACAGGTAAACGAGGTGAAGCCCAAAAAAACCTACAACAAAAAATGTTTAAACAATTTTAAACAATTTTAAACAATTTTAAAGCTTAACGCTCAGCACTATTATATGATATCATTCGCAAATCAGTTCAATAATTAATACACGGTTTTAATCAGAAAAATAGACTCTTTTAAATTCTGATGTAAAAAGGGGCTAAATTAAAAAAAATGGTCCTCTTAGGAGCCCCGTATTTTTTTTCCAAGTTGGCAATGACCATACTGAACTACAAAACAACTTTTGATAAAATTATTTTTTAATATTTTCGATATTTCAAAAGTTACACTCTATAATCCCCACATTGGAGCCCCTGATGTATCAGAATAAATGATATTATGATTTATTTATATATTTTTATAATGTCACGTAATTTGTCAAAAACTTAAAAAAAGACCTTTCTTTCGTTACAAAAAAGAATTAAAAAAAAAACATTGTTCTGCTATTAGAATTAATTTACCATCCCCCTATTAGTTACACCACTGGCAATAATGTTATTTTATTCCTGTTCATCATGATTGCGATTGGTACACTTGGTAACACGATTGTACTTTGATATTGGTAATTCTGTAAACAATTAGGCATTCCAAACTGAATGGCTACCAGTGGGTTCTGACCAATGAACTGGAGTGGGGTAGAAAGCTAATGTGCATATATGCCGCGTTTGAGAATCCACATCGGATGCATTTTTTACATCTCGAGCGTTTTTTTATCCACATCGGACACATCTGTCCCATTACATTTACGTGTACTGAATCACGTGATCAAAGATTTTTTACATCTGGGGGGCTATTTTCAAAGTATGGGAGCACTCATTTCTCTCAAGATTCTCATCAGAAATGTCATACGTCAATGTGGAAATGTTGTTTTTAAAGGCATCGAGGATTAAAATTCTTAGGAAGATTTTAATTCTCTCTAAATAAACCGAGAGAAACAGTCAGTGAATTCACACTGGCCCTAAGAGCCCTAAAAATACGGTTTTACGTTGACGTATGACATTTCTCTTGAGAGAAATGAATTCTCTCGAGTTTGAAAATAGCCCCCCCGAGATGCATCCGATGTGGATTCTCAAACGCAGCAATTGTATCAATTGAACAAGATGCGACTCGATGGGCGCAGCCATTTTTATTTCTCATCTCACTCGGGAGTATTTATAATAACCATTTTCTGTTTCACATTGTTATTGTTCAATCCACAGGCTGGTGGATCAGACAATAACAAAGTGAAATAGAAAATGGTCGTTATAAATACTCTCGAGTGAGATGAAAAATAACCTGTCTTCGCCCATAGAGTCGCATCTCAAGCCTATTGACAAGCATTCTACCCCACTCCAGTTCATTGGTTCTGACGGGTTATGATATGGCAAAATTATGGCAACCCTGTAGGCCTAGTGATTTGACAAGGTCAATGAAATAGATAGTTACATAGATTGATCATCCATATTTTTCAAAATAAACATAAGCTTATGCCTTGAAGTAAAAATGTAGGCAATTATTTTTTTTAAATATCTAAAGGCTAAAAATTGGTTTTATAACACATTTTTGCTAAACCGATTCAAATTAATAAATATTTGCCAGGCAATATGGCCGCTCGTAAACGACCAGCTTTGAGCAATCTATATAACTATATATGTATCATTGGCCCTGTTAATGACAACATGACAACAGGGTTGCCATATCTTAACTGTCATTACCCACTGGTAGCCATTTGGACAGGTCGTTGGAATGCCTAATTATTTTTACGTCAATTGTCATTTGTCATTCTTTGAAAAAATCAAAATGGTGAATGTTATGAAAGGAGTTCTTGTCAAATGGTAATTTTTATTTAAGAAAAATACTTATAGGGGCTTAGAAATATTTGATTTCAATGTTTGTTCGAATTTATAATTAGTTATTATAATACTAAATTGTTTCAGCGATCAGGCTATGAAACAATTTCTACTTCATTTAGATGAAACTATAAAGTTAGGAAGAAAATTCATTATACAAGATTTGGATGAGAACCACTTATTTATTTCTGCTGATATTTTAGACACTCTTCAAATTAAAATTGACGATTTAATGGATCAGATTAGTTTCCCTTTAACTGAAAAAAGTGCATAAACAATTTAAATCATGACTATCTCAAAATCTACCTTACGCGGTTCCAACCGCATTAAGGAGATTGATAAACGACGCATCGTCGATGAAACCTCCAGGAAACGCCGCCAAAGAAAAATGATGGAGTTGCTCGAGTCTGACAACTACCATGAAGACCCTCACGCTGATTTGGTAATGAGTAAAAAGGTTCCCAAATTTGACGATAATTTAGAACAAAGGAGTACTCGTACAAAGAAAAAAGACAGGGGCACTGATTATTATCAGTTCAAGTATCGTAAAAACTTTCAACAACTTGTAGATGAAGATAGGGTTGAAGCAGATTTAAATAAACGAGTTTCTTACATGGATATACAGTGTCAAGATTCTTCAATTCCATCACGTCGTTTCTGTGCAGTATGCGGGTTTGTCGGACAGTATTCATGTTTGTCTTGTGGTACTAGGTATTGTTGTATCAGGTGTATGGACACTCATATTGATACAAGATGTTTAAAATGGACAGCTTAATTTCTATATTTTTTTTATGAGTGATAAATATTTGTTTTGTTTAATTAAAATTTAGATAGCTTCTTTTTTTCAAATAGTTTAGTTAAGCAGTTTCCCATTTAATTTTTCTATTGGATAATAAAAAGATATTTTTTAAACATATTTTTTATCCCTAAACAATTGGTGTAACAAAATTGGAAGTGCCTCTTGGTAGAAAACCAATAAAAATAGGCCAAAAACAATGTTCAGAGTTATATTGGGTTTATCATTTTTAATTTGAATAATTATGCCAGTAAATAGAAATAGTATTATGTTACTTAGGAGTAGAAGTTCTTTATTGTTGAGCTCTTAAGCGTCTTATCAAAGTGAAATATTTTGTTTTAGATCATGAAGTTATACTAATATTCTTACATAATATTGTTATACCATGTATGAACAAAAAATAGTGACTTTAACTTTGACAAATCTAAGAAAAAATGCCACAATATAAAAACCAAACTCATAATTAACACTTATCAATTGGCACCCCTAAATATATCATAGATTGAAAATACAGGATGATTCTGAATGCTTTCGAAATAATATTGTAGGGAAGGCTTTAAAAATTATTATACCTGTATTTTTTATTTTGAGGAAATGAATTTTTAGGTACATGTTCTATAGTCCAATCAAATAGACGTTTAATTCAAAATTTTGGAGGAAATACAGGAATTTTTGATATAAGTCACTTTAGAGTATTTGAAAACGATATGTACAAGAATTTTGTTTTTCCAGCACCGGCAAATGTCAAAAAACAGAATAAAGTGTTTTTTTAAGGTTATTTAAAAACGGTAGGTACTATAAAAAAAAGTTCTTAATAAAAATTGTAAAGCATAAAGTTTTTCATAAAAATGATATTTAACATTTTTGCTATTATTAAAACTGACAGAGTTAGGGTGGTTAGAAATTAAGAGGAAAAATCATAGCGAGCTGAAAATTCAATGATTTTGTAATTTCTTTTCATTATTTACTCAGAAAATTATAATTTTCTTTTAAGAAAATTTTTTTTTGTTTTTTTAAGTTATAACAATTTTAATTTAGAAATTTTCAATATATTATATGAATTTATATGGTAACATAAATTTTGAAGTAAACTTATTGCTTGACTGAAATGAAAAAATATGAGGAGTGAACTAATAAAAACGGCATCCCGACAGTTTGGTCCCTACTTGAAGTTCCATTAAATAAATAAAAAACAATAAAAATATTAAAAAAAAATAAAGATAATAAAAATATGTAAATTAAAAAAATATATATAAAAATAACTAAATAAAAAGAATTATAAAATAAAATTAAAAAAGTAAAAGAAAATAAATGGAAATAAATAATTATAATTAAAAAAATTAACAAAAATTTTTATTAACTTTCTTTTATATTTATCCTTTAATTTAGTTTTGTTTAATTTCTATTTTTAATAAATTACCAATTTTTATTTAATTTTTTTTAACTATTTGTAATTGTTTTTATTTATTTTTATTTTTTCTTTATATATTTTAACATATTTTTAATTTTTTTAGTTTTAATTATTTTTATTTATTTTTGTTTATTTTTTAATTAGTTTTTATTTATTTTTTAATTATAATTATTTTTATTTATTTCTATTCATTTATTTTTTATTATCTTTATTTTTATTTTTTTTTTCATCTTTATTTTTTTATTTAGTTTTTTTTTTTATTTTGTTATTTTTATTTATTTAATGGAACTTCAAGTGGGGACCAAACTGTCGGGATGTCGTTTTTATTAGTTCATTCCTAGTTTTCATGTCAGTCAAGCTAATACTTCAAAATTTATTTTACCATATACATTGGTATAATATATTGAAATTTTCTAAATTAAAATTGTTATAACTTAAAAAAAATTCTTAAAGAAATTTATATTTTTTGAGTAAATGTTAAAAATCATTGAATTTTCAGCTCGCTATGATTTTTCCAAGTAATATACCTATTATATCTTCTCTTAATTTCTAACCACCCTAACTGTCAGTTTTAATAATAGCAAAAAATGTCAAATATCATTTTTATAAAAAACTTTATGCTTTACAATTTTTATTAAGAACTTTTTTTTATAGCACCTACCGTTTTTAAATAACCTTAAAAAAACACTTTATTTTCTTGTTTTTTGACATTTGCCAGTGCATGAAAAACAATTTTTTTACATATCGTTTACAAATACTTGTATCCAAAATTCCTGTATTTCCTCCAAAATTTTGATTTAAAGGTCTATTTGATTGGACTACTATGTTAATCTAGGAAATTGTAAACATATTCTGTATAATTAAAATCTGAATAATTCACGCCAAACTTGCTATATACAAGTTAAGAGTAGACTCTTGGCTATAGTGACCTTAAAGCAATTAAAGTAGAGTTAATCTACATTATTTATTTTTTACTTTTCATGTTAATAAATTCATCCTTTTAAAATATCCTTTATTTGACTATTCATAAATTAAATTTTAACAGGATAAGATAAGCAGCTGCATAATATTTTTAAGTAATGGTTAGCGGATAAATATTAATTTTTTGTTTATTTCCAGAATTACAATTTATCTGTTTATTCATATGTGTTTTAATTACTTTGCTAAGATTATCAGAATTCTTATCTATAGGTGTCCAATTTAAATTATTTTTTAGATATAATAGCTTTTGTTTATAATAATAATACTCTCCCTAATTCACCCCCTTACGAGTGCATTTTAACCCCTGAAGTCGACTGAACGACTTGTGTAGGGGAAGGGACGGTTTTATTATTATTATTTGCCGTGGCGCTCCGGGGCGACTTAAGGATGATTGATGGTGCCATTTGACTTACAGGTGAGGAAAACCCGGAAAACCTCACCCACCATCATCGAGACGATAATGTATGGCGATTTTATAATCTGCATGTCATATCAACAGAAATTGAATTTCCATTAATACGGCACACATCAAATCCTAAACCGAACCATGCAATTTAATTAAAAATCCACATGGTCTGGTCTGGGATTCGAAGCCCAGCAGTCTCGGACTCATAAACTCGCCTATAAATGAATATAAGCGCGATAGACCGCTACACCATCGACCCATCATTTTTATTTTCTACATGATTGTGCATTTGAATTAACTAATAATTTAAATGAGGATGAGTAAAACATAGACTTGCTATCCTTGATAATACAATAATTGGGACGTTTATTTTGCTTTTCTTAAGCTATTATGAATAAAAACTAAGCAATTGCTTTTACTTAAAAAACGTAATATAAAATTAAATTATTTTGGGGCCGATTCCACCGTTGTGAATGATATTGTTTATGTAAAAATGTTATTTTAATCTTCGTTTAGTAGTTTAAACTTTGTTTAACACAACGGTGGAATTGACCCTAAATGGAGATCAAATAAGCACTTTACCTGTGTATACTAGACGTACCTGCCTAATCTTTAGGTATGAATACTGGCACTGAAAATGAATAATTTTAAGGAATAGGCAACTCTGACATACACAGAAATGATTTTAAAATAAAAATATACGAAGACTGGTTGTAATTTTTAAATTAATAAAAGCAAAGAGTACAAAATATAACTATAAAAGAGGAGTCACTCGCCCAATTACCGCCTTCTAACGCGATCAGCCGCCAGTCCTCCACAGTCCTTTCTCGATCGGCAGTATACCGGTGTAGTTTAACGCGTAAGGCTCGTTTGCTCCGCTACGTTAGATTCCGCTGTGTATTGGCCGTTACATTCCACTATCATCGCCGCCGCGTCTTACCGCTTAACCTCGGTATAGCCCAATTAGCTCTGTACTCTTTGAAAAAATGCCGACTTGTCGGCCCGCATTTGAAGTGCGATTTCCTTAGTAAATGCCGCGAGTGACTTCTCTTTTATAGTTATTATTTTGTACTCTTTGATAAAAGTGAGTTTTCTTTTTTAATTTTTGTTTAGTAGCTACTGACGAGCTTTAGTGTTATCAATAAAAAAAATTGGAAATAGTATTTTTATCCCAACCTTGGATATATTAAATCTATTGATCCACAATAATTATGAATTTACTAAGAAACAAAATTAGCCTATAGCGAACATGAGCACCCTTTAATTTCGAACCAACATGACATGGACGGATAGAGGATCGAAAAAAACGAAAATACCCTTCCAACTTTTCCCGCCTCTTCCTTTGCCACGCCTAAATGGTAAGGGATAGAAAAAAAACTAAAAGCGGAACCTTAGGCCCCGCCTGAAACGATTTTAAACCGCCCAACTTCACTCCCGTTCTTAGGGGAGGTCGATATATAGAAGCCCCTAGACTTCGGGTTCGATGGATTGGACTTTGAGGCGAAAACAATTCCACCCCACCCCCCGCAAGTGTAGGTGGGGGTGAAATAATTATTTGAGATATTGGTTGTAGAAATAATTTAAAAAATTAGAAACATTCGATGAGTATGCCGACTCCTGTCCCCGCCCCCTTTTTTTATAACCTTTAGGTCAGATATAGTAGAGCGAGGGGTGGTTTCCCACACACAACCCCCATTTTTTAGGGGCCTCAGGAGTAATGTCGAAATAAAAATTGTGTTTCATATCATATCAATAAATGAGGGTTTTTAAATTAATTGTGAGTTATTTTATTGAATTTATTTTTTATTTAAATATATAGTACTGAACTATGTTGTATTGTGAGTACATATAAACGTTTATGGTCTCAGATATACAATAAACGAATGTATAAAATTGCAAAAAAAAATGTTAGAAATATGCAACTGCACATATGTTTCCCTCAAATTTTTAATATTGATTATGGTCGAAACCACTGGGCGAACACAAGTTTTAAGAAATAGACAACTTTAGCTGGCATAGAAATTATTTTAGAATAGCTAATATACGATAAAAGATTCTTTTGAAATTTTGTTGATTAGGCAACTCTGGTACTGAGCCACTCAATTTAAATAGAGGAAAACAACTAGATTAAATTTTTAACTCCAGTAATAAACAAGGCAATCCATCAGAGGCCTGTCTATGGTTAAGCCGTTTATTATAATAATAATTCACGTCATTTAATATAAACAATATTTCATTATACATTTAGAAAATAATAAAAAATGATATTTTTAACAGAATATTTGAATATATTGGAAAAAGCAAGAAATAAACAGTTTATTATTCTAATTTATTTACACAATTTATGTATACTCTTTGAACATATAGATTTATACACAAAGTATATATACTCAAATACTAATTTATATATCGGAACTATTAATTTATATAGATAATTTAACTTATTTATTCAACAAATTCTTTATATCGACTTAAACGGTAAAAATTAGTCTATTTAAAAATGCGGCGCACAGCACTGCTTTTTCGAGGTTTCTAGATGATGGAGAAAGCTCTGTTTTTTTAATCTATCTCAGCTCTTGCGGTAGCTTGTTATACAATCTTGGTATAATGTAAGTGTAACATCTTGGACCTAAGGCTTTATTTACTCTGGGTAGGTAAACATTATTTGCTATATATATTTTAAATGATTAAATATTGTGGGTGTGAGATTATTGTTTTATTGCAAAGGACAAGGATGTTTTTACAAATAATCTCATACTCACCCAAGATTTGCATATCCAAAAACAATTGGTTAAAACTAAATATTTGCAAATTAAGACATTAAAAAAATTATTAATCCACCCCAGCCAATTACCTATTCCATAATTTAGCTATGATTCTATGAGAACAATATTGCTTATTTTCCTGACTAAAATTTTATAGTTAGAATTTTGAGCCAGAAATTTTATCTATAGAAAATAAATAGGACTAATTGATAGCAATATTTTTATTTATTTTTTACCACCCAATTGTTAAAAAATCTGATTTGGGTTAAAGAAAACTTGAATTTGTAGTCCTATATTTATTTAATTTATATTATGTACAATATTTCAAATTTATTTTGAAACTAAAAATTATCAGTCAAAATAGTACTACTTAAAACTACAAAACATTTGTTGAAACCCTTAATCCAAATTTCGACCAATTTCATTTTATTGGTTTTGTGTGGAGATTGTTTCATTGTTTGTGCCAAATTTTCTATTTTTGTCAGAGTTAAGCAAGTATAGTTTTCTAATAGCAAAGTTTTTTAACATAAAAATCAGATTATATACACATTTTATTATCATCCTAAGAGTTAATGTCATTATTTTTTGTCACTCTCATTAAGAGTTAATTTTTCTTCTATTTTTTTAAAATGACTTTCTGATACTTTATCTCCTTCATCTAAAACTTGTTCAACACCCAACACTTCCGGAATATAAAACTGCATCATATTCTGCACTCCATTTTTTAAAGTCACAACAGAACTTGGACAACTTGAACAAGCACCCTGCATCTTTAATTTTACTATTCCATCTTCATAAGCAACAAAAATGATGTCACCTTAAAAATAAGATTATTATTAAAAAAAAAAAGATAACTAAATTATTTAAATAACTTTTCTTAAAACCTACCTCCATCTTCTTGTACAGTAGGCCTTATTTTTGTGTCTAAAAGTTCTTTGATCATTTGCACAGTTTCATCATCATCTTCATTAATTTCTACAAAAATTTACAATTTAAAAATCATAAAGTGTTTATCTTCCTCCTATTAGAGGTAAAAAAATGATTATCTTTTTTTTTATTTAATATATAGGTATACTCTGTCTTATCTCAGAAATTTTGGTTATCAGGAATTAAAATAATAGTCTATTTCCAATTTCTAAAAGTAAACAACTAAATATATAATAGCTGTGGGTAATCCTGAGAGTTTATGTTACCCCGTGTTGCACATGCATCTGATACTTGCATGATTAATTTTATCTTTGAAGTCAAGGACAATTTAGAATATTTTTGTTCATTTCTAAATATCTTCCTTATACTTTGTTATTCCAGTGAACACAAGGACAGTGTATGTGCAATCCGCAGCGACGTTAACTGCAGGTTTATCTAGCCATATATTGATATAATAAGAACAATTTTGTAAGGTTTGGATATATACTTACAAACCTACAAAAATTATCAACGTCTATTAGCAACTAATTTTGAGCAAATAAATTATAAATATACAATTACTATAAACATACGTGTATCCTGATTTGGTGTAGATTCATTTAATACAGGTAAACCACTAGCGAAAAAATCCATAATTGTTGCAAAAATTTCAGGTTTCAGTAATTTCCAATTAACTTCCTCATCTTCAGATTTGGTAACTGTAATGAAATCTGAACCAAGAAAAATACTTCTAACCCCTTCAATTCTAAACAGTAATTTTGCCAGTGGTGAACCATATGCAGCTTGTCCATTGGGAAAATCAATCGTTTGGCCAGTTTCAAGTACTTTAACTCCTGGTATAAATTTTAGACTATTTGGATTTGGAGTTTCTTGTGTTTGGACGAACATTTGTAACATTGATGATAAATGTATATTCTTTTGAAAACGTTTAGCAAAGGGTAGTGGATTTACAAAACTGGAAAACAAAATTAATTGTTATTTCGGTATTAACAAACCATATAAGAATAATAACCTATTAGATAGGGCTACTCTTTTTGGAGCATAGTTTAATATTTTATAAAAAAATAAGGAATTACGCCACATTTTTAGATTTTTGAACCAAAATTAAATTTCAAATTGACTTTTAAATAACAACATAACCTTAAAAATTTCTTCTTATTTATAAAACTGTAAAACATTTCATAGTCATTTGAGGTGTTCAGCCCGCTCGATTTGAAGTTTGAAATGCCGCCTGCAAACAATTTGGGCCTTTTGTGAATATATACAAATACATTTTACTCTTTATTACTATTTTATCTTACAATATTTAAAGATAATTAAATTGATTAGCATAATAAAACAGTTATTAGTCGGCAGTTATAAACACAAACGTCAATGAATAGAACCAGAGAAAGAAGCAGAAGACGGTCTCATAAAATAGGAGAATTTAAAATTACAAAAAAAATTAAAAATCTATATTTTTCAAACTATTTACATCTAAAGTGAATTACATTCTTCTGTCAGTCTCAGATGGTTACTTATAAGTATTAAAAATCACTGTTTTAACATTTACAGCTACTATAATGTTTTCCAAAATAACTATTTTAAAACGTAAGTCAAATTTTCCTATTTTCTTACATATACCTGAATTTTCAAATTATTTTTAGCTCAAAGATTGCTTACTATACAAAGTAATGGCATTAAAAATTTCAAGGCTCCACCAAATTTTGATCGTAAGTATATATTTATGTTATATTTACATTCTTCACAATGATAAAAAAATCCAATATATCCTTTACTAATAGGAATAAGAATAACTGACACATATTTTAGATATACAGTTCCCAGAAAGAGCCAAATTAAAATTTATTGAAAAAGTTCCACAACTGCCACCAGCAATTAAAGCACCTAAGATGCAAAAAAAATTGAGGCTTATGAGAGGTCCAGAGGATGTACATAATTTTTTGCTACATAAGCAATATGGAATTATGGTGAGCAACTTAATTATTGTAACACACTTAAGAAACATATTTTCCTAGAACATTGATATTTTTTGGTACTTCAAGACAGAAAGTACTGGCTCTTAATTACTAAGCCACACGATTTTACTTACTGCTCTGTTTGAACAGTTTCTAGTCTCTTATAGTTTATAGGCTTTACAATTTGTTTCATTATGTCTTACTACTTCACTTAATTTTTGTCATACAATTAAAAATGTCCTTGGCTAGCAATAGTCCACTAATATGAGCTAACTTACATCGACTAAGCTTAATTGTATGTTCTTCTTGTGATTGTAAGTAAGAATCTTTCTTTCCGCCTGGATCCAAAATGTCGATACATATGTTAAATAAAGCCACATTTTGATTTCAATTTATTCAATTTAATTATATACAGTATACATGATATGACAACATAATATTAAACAAAAACTTAGGCTTGTACTAATAAATGCACCTAAGGACCAATTCCACCTTTGTGTTAAATGGAGATTAAAATGACATCATTAATGTAAAAATGTCCACAAGGGTGGAATCGGTCTTAAGTGACTTAGCACTTGTATGTGCAAGAACTTGATTTAAAGTTACTCTGAACTATGTAATATGGTAATGGCAAAAAATATGAAAAAGAGGAACATAAAAGAATAATTAACAAATTAAAATAATTTCTTGAATTTAGAGAAATAAATATAAGTATACTTACAAACTACAAAAGTTGAGCAATGTATTCTCTTTTCTCAAAAATAAAAATTTTACATTGCTCAACAAACCTTTTATACCCAATTGTGGTTCGAATCTTCAATGGTATGTTGAAAATTTTTGGTGCCATGATTGCAGTAAATCTCTGGTTGGCATAATATCTTCTAAATGGTACCAAGATCATGTTATTAAGATTATGTCTTGTTTGGTAGTGATGATTGATATTTTTGTTTTTAGATTTAAAGACATATATACAGTTGCTAAGGTAGTAAAGACATCGAATATTTAGAATATGATTATATAATAGGTTGTAAAAAGTTTGTCTATAAAAAAAAATATAGTTTTGGACAACATTCAATTGATTTAATACATTGTCATAGAGCCCTCCCCAGGCAATGATAACATATCTTAGGAGCGATTCTACTAATGATTTATAAATTTGTATAAGTAGTTTTTTAGATAAGATTTTGCGAACACAATACAATTTTGGTATTAAGTGCCTAATTTTGTTTGTCAGATCTTGAATGTGATCATTCCATTTCAGATTTTTATTGACTCTAATGCCTAAGCACTTTATTGTATTAGTTTCTTTAATGGTAATATCAAATTCGTTCATTTTAATGCAGTTAAAACTAAGTCTATTTGCATCGTTCATAGAGAAGGCTATGTAAAATGTTTTGTCGGCGTTTAAGGTTAATTTACTAAAATCAAGCCAGCGTTTAACTGTTTCAAAACCGGCAATTGCTTTATCTTTAACAATTTCCCAGGTTTTTCCTTTAAAAAGTAGCACTGTGTCATCTGCATAAGAAATGGAATCTTCATTTATATTTAAATTTAGTAATGAATTAATGTAGGTAATGAACAGAAGAGGACCAAGTACAGTGCCTTGTGGTATTCCAATTTTAACATCTAAAGAATCACTATACATATTTTTAATTTTTACTTTCTGTTTATGCTCTTTTAAATAACTTATGAAAATTTTGAACACAATACCCCTACACCATATTGTTCAAGAACCTCAATGAGTTGTCTATGAGGTACCGTGTCGAAAGCTTTTGCAAGATCAAGGAAAATTGCAATTGCCTTCTCATTATTGTCTAGTCTATTTTTAATGTTATTTATGTCCAAATTGATTTTTATTTAATATGTTAACAGAAGTAAGATAATTGAATAATCTATTTTTTAAATGTTTTTTATTTTAGGCGCTTGGTGGAGGGCGATTAAAATGGGGTCATTATGAAATGATGCGTCTAACAATAGGTAGAAATATGGACACAAATAGGATGTTTGCTTTATGGCGAATTGATTCACCATGGCAACCAGTAACAAAACAAGGCCAGGGACAACGAATGGGAGGTGGAAAAGGTGCAATAGATCATTACTGTACTCCGATAAGGGCAGGTGTGTATTAAGTTCAGTAAACTTCATAAAGATATTAAATGCAGAAGTCATACTGTTAATATTAAAAAAATATTTCTATTATATTATATACTTTTCTTAGGTCGAATTATCTTAGAAGTAGGAGGAAAATGCGAGTTCAAGGAAGTAAAAGACTTTTTGGATGATGTAGCTGCCAAGTTGCCATTTAAAGCAATGGCTATATCACAAGAAATTCTTGACAAAATGAAAGAAAAGGAAAAATGGGAAGAAGAAAACAATCAAAATAAATATACTATGAAATATATTATACAAAATAACTTAGGTGGGTGTTATAGGTGGTTATCACCAACAGATATGAAATATTTTTGTAAATATGTTTAATAGGAGAATAAATACGTTTTTTTCTAAGTAACATTTGTGTGTGCTGTTTTTCTAATTGTAGATAAAATTCCTATACACATTTGGATAAAAAATGTAAAATATTTATATTTTTCTCTTTGTAAATCAGTTTTTATTACATTTATATTATTTTTTTGCAAGTGAATGGGGGAGACATATTTTGAGAAAATTTAAATATCCTTCCACTGTTAGCAGTTAAAATTTTGAATAAATACCCATCGACCAGGCACTATGCAAGTATCAAAAAATACCCTTGAGATTTGCCACTGGAGTCATTAGTTTGATTGCTGTGAACATCAGAGACACAAAGTTTGTATACAATCACGTGGCTGGCATAGTTTTAGCTAGTTGCAAGTAAAATTATATAATAAATTTAGGTTAATGGTTCCTGAAGGTGTCTATAAGCTTTGTTTAATATTGGCTTAACTTTTTATTAAAGAAGAGTTTAAAAAGTACATATGGGTATATTGCAAGACAGTGTATTATAGTGGGACAGAATTATTAGGGTGCATACTGGTACAAGCATTTTACTTGTTGTAAAGGCTTTATATTAAAACAATTTTGATTTTTTTAAGTTGATACCTAACTTATTTTTTTTATAAATTAATAAGAAAAGTACGAAAAATATTTTTTGGACAGTCATCAAACCCTTTAAGATTGCTGAAAAAATAAAGGCAACTGGGACTGTTAAGAATTGATTGACTATTAGAACTGCTTCAGTTAAATTGGGCGTTAGTAAATCAGCTTTACATAGACATACAAAAAAATGCAAAAATAATGAAGAAAACATGGAAGATTTAGATTTCCAAAGGCTACACAGTTTTGAGCATACACTTAGTGACAACAAAGAGCAACTGCTTAGTGAATACTTAGTTACTTCTTCTCAAATGTGCTATGAGTTATCAAGCAAAGAAGCTAGATGGTTGGCATATAGATATACCTTTCTATTCAAAAATAGACAATGAATGCGCCAGAGAAAAATGATTTAAACTATTTCAAATTTGACAGCTTAGGAAAACCTGAGGCTACAAGTCTAAGCCGTATAACTAGTTTTAAATGACATAACATTGATCTCTTTTTAAGATATGGCATACAGTTTTGGAATTATTGAACTTATTAATAACCAAACCAACAAAAAATATGATTAGACATTTTTTTTGTCAAACAAAAATATTGTCCCAGTATAGAACAGCCTCCCCTAGTATTTTTCTGTCTGACCATTGATGCACAGACTAGTATTATTTAGAGGAAAATAAAATAGAAATACCCAACTTAATAAATTACTTTTACTGAAACACAAAAATTATAAAAACACACTTGGAATTTAAAAAATTACATTAAGTAAACAAATTTAAACATTTTTCTTAATAGCTTCATCAATTTCATTCATGAAACCTTTTACTTTTTGCCATTGTTCCATAGAAAGCATAATTCCCTTCCTGCCTGGTTTTAGATCACCATCTGCATTGTAGAATTCTCTGACATCAATGTACCAGGTATTTTTAAATTCTGTTAATTTTATGAAACGGTTTTTGCCCAAGCTCCAAGAGTTCTCATCTCCTCCACCATCTCCCTTTGATTTTTTTGAATCGGACTTTGATTGCTTAGAATCAGACTTTGACTTTTTTGCTGGAACAACCTGTATCAAATAAAATAGTATGTTGGAAAATATAATCAAATGCATTTTACTTTAAATAATAAAAATGATACTCGTGGAGTATGTATACCTGAATTTGGGGTTGCCACCTGTCCTTTTTTGAAAAGGACAGTCCTTTTTTCAAACAAATTGTCCTTGTGACTTTTTAGACCTTAAAATGTCCTTAGAAACTATAATTTAATATTTTTCAAGATTAACATTCACAACAGCACTGGCTTGGCCCACATGCTTCCAGAAATAAAACCCAGTCCAGTGCTGTTTTTTTGGAAGATACTTCATCATTTTACATGTGTGTAGCTGTCGATAAAGTTTGGTTATGTATGTTCAATTTTTCAAACAAACCAAACAAATTTTTGTAACTATAACCAGCGTTTAAATGATATATAATATTTTGATTATTTTGCGGTTTTTATTTATTAGTTGAGGTGATGCAGATTTCACACTGTCAGAGATTGAAAATAAAAACCAAATTTAAGGATATTTAAAAAAATGGGAAATTGTTTTAAACAGCCTTAAAAATACTCCAAATGTGTTTTCGGCAATTTCACTTTTATTAAGTGTAGGTACCTGCTAGTTCAGCATTTTCTGAGCGAATTTTTTTGTCTGTGATGGCTATAAAATGGCGCGACGAAGGAAATCGGTGCTCTATAAAACTAATTCGCTCAGAGCTTTTAATAAATTTTAATTTTTAAGAGAATTGTCAAAAATTTTACAACTTCATAAAAAACAAGGCTGGTTTGGATTCTGCAAAATCAATTATTTTAAATTCAATAATCCCTAGAGGTATGGTTCCGCTTGTGTGTCCATTGCACACCGAGGATACACAAGCGGGACTATACCATGAGTATTTTTTAGTTTTTAATATTTTTTTAGTTATGTTACTGTTTTTTTAATTCATTTGAGGTAACTACCTAATTAAGATATTGTTCAATAAGTTATTAAAAAGTGAGAAAACTGCCTGCGCTAGTGTTTTATCATGACACGCTGCGCGACCCCTTTATTAGCATTCATAAAGCCGGTCCTACCTTAAGTTTTTTTGAAATGTCCTTTATTCACTTTTCAAAAAGGTGGCAACCCTACCTGAATTGTTAATGTTAATAAAGCCTTATTATGTAATGTGAAAATGGTAAAATTATAAATTGTAGCGTGCCGAAATATAATAATTCATGGTATTAACTAGCCTCTTTAAAGTTTTATGGAAAGATTATATTATCATGAAATGTATCAATGGCCGATTGCCTCATTTTAAGTTAAAATTCCACAGATTATATGTCGGCGAGTCAGAGAATGCCATTTGTTTTAGTTCTTTTAATATAAAAGTCTATTGTTAAACAAAAAAACAATTATTTATAAAAAAATTCTTACATCGTCAGGGCCTGAATCAGAGTCGGAACTGGAAGCGCTGGAATCTTTATCTTTTTTCGAATGCTTAGGCATGTTAATCTTGGTAAGTTAGATATAATATGAAATATGAACTGAAAGAAAGTTAAATTACGTTAAAACAGCACAAACGAATCTTTATCTAAATACATATAAAAAAACCGGGAACCTTACCTCGCTGGCTAACACAATATATCCCCTATAGTAATGTAACTGGGATTCAAGAAATGGCTTTGAGTTACGCTGCGGCCAGACACAGGTCTCATGGCGCTAGTATCGTTATTGATTTTTGACATCGGCACGTTCATTGGTTGACGACGAATTCAAAACAATCTGATCGGAGCGTTACTCACTCCCACTCCTTCTCTTTGTTTAGATACTTATAAAAGAAAGAGATACCAGTTAATAATTCCTATTTCGAATCATCTTTCATTCTTTAGCGTTGAGTTTTTATAAGTGAAGCGTGAAGTGTCAGTGTTGACAAGTGATAATTTTTTGATTTTTTTCTTCTACGAAATTTAATATTAATTTTGTTTCAGCGATATTTATTGTGATTTGTGTTGTATTAAGTGCTTTCTTATTTAATATGGGAAACAAAACGTACAACAAACTCAGAAAAAGAGGAATCAAGGAGGGATTGCTATCTATGGCTGTCATCCAAGGGTCTGCGCCCCAGATAATACTTTTCCAGTGGGAAAAGCCTTTAAAATTCAAGTAAAACAATTTTATGTTTCCGTTTTCCCTTCTTTTAATGTAGGTGCCAATTTTGAGGTAAGTTTGTAATAATTTTTCATATTTTTTCAGTTAATACCCTCTTAATATTATAAGTTAACTATGATCTTATGCTTTCCTATGGACACGATTCAAGAAGGGAGTCTTATGGCTGTCATCCAAGCCCTAGATAATAGTTTTCCAGTGGCAACAGCCTTTAAAATTCAAGTATAATAATTTACTTTTTTCGAAGTAGATGTCCATTTAATCTAATTTTTTTTATTTCACCTATTGATTTTAGCATTTATATACTGTATCGGCTAATTAACACTTTCCAATACGCTTGGCTAGAATCGAAAAGAAAACTAAAGAGTTAGCGCATTAGTTCGATCAGGAAACGAATAATATGAATGTTGCCTTGTGTGCTGTGTAATATGAACAGGCACACGGTGTGATGCATCCCCACGTAGCCGGCTGGCTACGTTCATAGTATTCTATTCCTTCTCCCACTATTGCTAACTCTTTGTAGTTTTTACTTGGACATTAGCAAAACGTATTGTACAACATTCGATAGCTGTCACTGTATTATCACAAACATCTCTTAATAACTAAATGATTTCATTTAATAGTTTCTTTTTTTTTTTCAGTAAAATGGATATGGCTAGAGTTATCTTCGTCTTTAAAATATATTAAATAAGTTTTATAATTTTTCAAATAAAATACTTTATACAATTTTTTGTTTTTTTTTACCAGAGCCATTTTTTTTTCAGATCTAACCTCTATAGGTAAAAAATAAGTGATTTAGGTAAAATTGAAAAGTATATTACATGTTCTTTTAAATGTGTTGTTAATCCAAATGCTGCTCTTATTGTAATAGCTAATAATAAAAGAATTAGTATTATTTTTAGCTATCAAAATAAAAATAGCGCCTGGATTTACAGCTCGTTTAATCGAACATGCAATATACTTCTCAATAATTATTGCCGAATGAATATATTTAAAAATTCCCGCCATTCCGCGACTGAAAATTTACAATTTTGGCGGGAAATTTAAATTTCGCCTTTAAATTATATTTGAATTTACCGCCATATCGAGTTAGTTGAGCGGCCAGACACAGACGCATTCTTGCGCTGCAAACTTAGTGCCAACTCTTTAACAAGTGAGATGCACTACTATAGGGGATATATTGTGCTGGCTAATAGTGGTAGAAGGAGAGGGGAGAGATGCTTGTTTGTTTATTGTTTTGTTCGGTACTGGAAACTGAACCTGTGACTGAACTACGATCACAGAACACTTACTCTGAACCTTAGATAATATATGTACAGATAGACTACCACTGTATAAATCTATACAATATTTATGTCGCTAACATAAAATCTATGTTCCTCTTTCAAATACACTCTCCACATACACTCTCTCATTCATTGGAATCATTCTCAGTTGCGTACGTAAACCATTGCATTGGGGTATTTTTAATGTAAACTAGTGACTAACGCCCGTATGCACCGTACACGTTTAATCAAGATTAAAGATTTAATCACGTTTAGTACCATTTTTAGCTATGTACCGTAATAACAATAATTCTTAATCCAATTTTTTTCTAATAAAAAAAAAATATCGGAGGTAAGTATAATATGATGATAAAAAATAAAATACAAAATATTTTAAAAGGTAGGTAGGTTTCTATTAAAGAGAAAACAAATAGTGACATTTTGTCATGTCAAATAATATACCTCAATAAAATATAAAACAAAACACAAATAATATGGAAAATACAATAATATAAAAAACAAATGGGATATAAATTGCAATTAATAAGGTCACTGAATTTTGTACAAGGATAATTTCCTGATCAGGGTTGAAATTTTATACTGCATTTTATATAAATAAAAACTTCCTTTTGGTTATATCAGTCATACGTTTTTATTTTACAATACACAACATACTTATATGTTTCGAAAATCAATCTTTTCCATCTTCTGGTACAATCAATATAATTTTAAAAAACAATAACGGGGTACAAAAATAAACGATTTAAAATTTTTAAAAGAGTCGATTGAAATTCTTTATTTTTGTTTTACACCGTGTGTAGGTGTATTCAAAATATAATTTTACAAGAAGTAAATTAAATAATTAGTTTTTCTACTCCTACATGGATATTACCTCTATTCTACGCACAGAATATAAAATAATGAAAACATATGCCATTGCGTTCAACTGAACGAATGTATTTCATATCCATTCTACCCACAGAACTCCCAATAATAACCACTGGACTATATATTAAACTGGAAGAACAAAGCCGATCAACAAAATCAAGCCGCATAACGTGTGTCTTTTTTTCCACCGGTTTGTTGGAATCGTTTTTCGCCGATGCGGCCTTGAACGCCTTTTGTTGGATCCGATTTATTTATGGTTGACCTTTGAAATAAATAACAGTTGACATTTTGGATTAAAATTTGTGTTTATTATTTTATTTGAATGTACCTATTTACTTTAATTTGTACGCATATATTTTTAAAATCTCATTTTTTTTGGTTTTCCCACAAAAAAACAATTAAATAATTACGCCTGTATCGACCGTACACGTTTAATCCAGATCAAGTGTTTAATCACGTTTAGTACCATTTTTAGCTATGGTACAAAACGCGATTAAACCCTTGATCTAGATTAAACGTATACGGTGCTAGGCATTCCAAACAAATGAATTACCAGTGGGCAGGTTTGGTATATCTAAGGGTGGCGACATATGTTGTATTCTATCTACTTTACGTAAAATCATGAATAATGGATTACATTTAAATATTTTATGTCAAACACAATAAAAATTATATTTAAAAAACCCACCTATACATTTCTTCATAAATTGGCAGGCTTGGCGAGTACTACTTCGAATAAAAATAGCGTCCAAGTTGCAAGACTATGTCGCTACCCCCTTAAATATACAAGAATTTCTCACTGGCACCTATTGTTTGACAGGTCGTTGGAATGTCTAATGGGCGTGTTTAGTGAAATTCAAAAATATTTTTTTCTGATAAGTAACACAAAACCTAATCTAAAAATATTTTTTTTAAATTTTTCCCTTCTCAAATTTTCATACAATAATTTTTTTAAATTCCAAGAAATTCAAGCAAATTTGAAACGTGCGCCACTCTATTCTTCAAGCATCGTCATAATGAAGCCTACATTCTTATTGGCTGATTTATAATGTTCAAGCCAGTAGTTGATGTTTTTACGTGGTTGCCGTTTTTTGTAAAGAATTATTGAAATTCCGGATGACCAACAATCATTAAATGGTTAACATCGTGCAATTTAACATAAAAACATAAAAATAAATCTATATTGGTTTAAATTCCATTTTTAAGAAGCAACCTGACACTTACTATTTTAATTAACTTTATTAATCGACTTGTTATTCAATACCATACGAAATATTTTATCTGACAAGTCTGGCAACGTTGTTTCACTCTGTGTCATAACATAACCTAACAACCTAACCTAGTTTTCGATTGAGTTTATTGTTTGGATTTTTCTTTTAAATTGTATCTATATAGTGTTAATTTTTTAAAAATGGCAAAAATACAAACTGGATTTATGGAAGGATCTTCTGATAACTTACCTAAGGTGGATTCCGATATGATAAATGATTTTTTTATAAATAATATAAAGTTTATTGGCTCTGAAATTCGCAATGTAAAGACGAAACGGTAAGACACTTTTTTTAGCTGTGAAATAATTTACAATCTTTTTATAATTAGGTTCAAAAAGATTTGTATTAAATATAGGAAAAAAATGTGTTTTCTATTCTACAAACTCTGTTAACTAACTGCTACTAAATATTGTTGACATTTTATTTTTGCTATACCTATTTATTAAGTAACAATTATTCTATTGTAGGTCTGCAAAGGAAGCATATGGTGACAGTGCATTATCATATGTTCAACTCAAAAGAGAGGGTGTTTTGTGTAACATTAAAGCTAGGATTACCCCAGAACACAAAATTCACAAAAAAGCCTATAATGTTGATGCAGTAATAAACGAACAAGAGGAAAAGGTTGTGTCTTGTGAATGCACAGACTGTTCTGCTTCTGAAGGTAATATAAATTCCTCTAAATATTAAAAAAAACTGTGCATACAATGTAACAAGGTTCTATTATTTTTTAAGGTGGTTGCAAACATGGTGTTGCTTTCTTGTTATGGCTGCATCGTCGAAGTGAAGAACCTTCTACTACATCGACATTGTGTTATTGGAAAGGCTCATCTTTATCAAAAGTAGGACGTTCTTCTGACTTGAGGGTTTCAACACTATTTGGCCAAAAAAAAAACAGAAAAATTGAGCCACCTAATAAAACATTGCTAAAAGAGCTATTAGCAGAATTTCCTACAAGCCAAGGTGTTTTATTCCAATTACACAGAAATCCGAAGTTTTCAAATCTTAGTCTGCATCAATTAGGGATTAATTATAAAAACTTGAA